AGGAAGAGGAGGACGCCCAGGCAAGAGGAAGGGTTCCTACTTGCAGTTCACCAACACCACTATTGCCACCTCTGGAATTTTGTTCTTCCAATTCTAGTTTCGTTATTTACTTTCTGCAATTTATTTTCATTCCGTTTGATCTTTGTTTTATTTTCTACCAATCTGCAATTCGACCAGGTAAGACGGAAGGCCTAGCTCAAGAAGTTTGAGAGTCAAAGGAGAGATCCGAAGAATGCTACCTCTGATCAGATTATAGATTTTTATTTCATTTCTTTTGTTAATTTATTTCTGTATTTTTTTATGTTTCTGCACTTTTAACTTTCAGTACTGTTCGAATTCTATATTATTCTCAGTTGAATTAATTAACTTTTATATTTCTACACTTCCCTCTTGTGTTCTCTTCTTTGGATTTGAGTGTATATTAATTTTTCCCTTGCTTCCCTATGGATATGAACCATTCTCACCCACTTACTATGTTAGTAGTTGTTTGAGAAATGGTAAAAATTATAAATATTTAAACTGGTGTTCCGAGGTGTTTAACGATGCACTTTCGGCTACACCAGGCGCCTTGTTAGAATGAAAAGAAAGGGGCACTCTCACAGACCTAGCCCTCTTCACTAGAAGGGGATAGCTACACTCCCCTTCATTGGCAACCAGCCATTTCTCGGCATGCTTGGACAGCGACCTCTTCAATAGACCGGGGCGAACAATAACTTCACTTCCCCTGGTTAGCAGCGTGACCTTCAGAAGGGGCTGACACATGACGCAGATGGGGGTTTGTCCACAGCAGCTCCTAGAACCTCCCAAACAATGTGTAGAGATATGACAAGTGGAGAGACCTACACACCTATACCCTGCCATATCCAGCCACTAGAAACTGAGCGCACCCAAGGAAAGCATGGTTGTGATGCTGGACCCAGAACATGTCCTCGCTGGCGGACCTCAAAAATTGGGCACCCATGTCATCATACCCAAATTGCCAGAGCACTCGATCCAGATGGTACACAGAGAGCTGTGCCTCACCTGAGCGATCTAAGTAGCCAATAACACCAGTCCACAGAACCAACCATGCCATACTCACAGTGGCACTTCCCATATCGAGAGCACACTGATTATATCCGCCTTCTGGGACAGGCACACCAATGCAAAATGGCATAGAGTGGCACATTGTCTGAGCATACGGCCTCCACATGTAACTGTCCAAAGAGGGCAACTTCATGCTAATCTCACTCAGCTTGAAGCTTTTGTGCCTCTTAGCCTAGAGCTAGCACTTTCCCCTATAGACTTTGAAAACTTTCTCCTCCAACTCATCACCATTGAGAGTAGCGACATGAAGATGGAGAGGACGTAGGCTCCGTGGCCTTACATTAAGCTTAAATCACTCACAAATAAACATCCAAATAAAAGGCACAAAAACATAGCTCACATGGCTCCTGCAGTTGGGGTTGTTAAGTTGCTAAACAGTGTTGTCCAATTGCTTGTACAAATAACCAAGGAACATCGACGCCAATAGAAGTTGATACCCGCTGGCAACAAGGACAACTAACGGAATCAGAATGGTATAGAGACCGTAATCCGGTATCCCTGGGAATAGGAAATGGGAGGCCACATAAAGGATGTAGGCGGCAAGGTGATATTGAGAACCCGGACCACGCACTCAAACCAATATGCCATCCATTGATCCAATGACATCTTACCCCGAGAGGTGGATTGGTCCACCAACGCTTTAAAGGGAGGAGCTTCTCCAAGAAGCTCCACACATAATCCCTTCAACTCTATAGGGACAGACTCAACATGTTGCAAATGTTGCACAGACACAGCACCCCCAACCAGTAACGCTAACAATGCCGCCACATCCTCCATTGTGATGGTAAACTCCCCAAATGCACCCATGAAGGTGTGGGTATGAGAACACCAATGACTCAGAAGGTGCCTTACATACTTGATGCCTTCCCAACCTTGACGATTTGTGTAGCAACCCATGAACCTAAGAAGCCTACCATCTTGAAGCAACCGACAATACATGGGGTTCTCAAGGATGTATCGCGTCTAGGCAGAATAGTTGGTGGAAGACCTTGAACCATTGGTTCGGGGTCCTGGCACTTATAAGACCTAGAAACATCTGTAGTGTCGCAAAGACACATTAATTCGGTGTTGGTAATGACATCAAAAGAGCCACCTTAACCCCAAGGCACAGGCACAAGGGAACAAAAACCCTTCCCACCATCAATGGCCATGGCCGCCTCCCTCTCCACCAACAATGATGTGGTATCAACCTGCCTAACTATTAGATAGTTATACCCTTAGCTCTAATCAGATTGATGTACTTATTGACATTTATTGTAAATAAATAAAGTGCATAATTGACCCATGTTATTATGGTGTGTTTCAATGTAATACCCTTAAACTAGACACTTATGAGACTTGTGTTAGTTTAGAATCTTCACAGCCACTGGATAGGCCTGGGGAGGTTTATCCTACCAAGGCTAACACTAATGTGTTGTTAAGAAGGTTGGGGTGGCTTGTCTCAGCTACCAAGGTATGACCTGAAGAACATGTAGTGTGGGTTTGATTGAAATTCTAAACTGGACCATTTTCTAGTTATGCCCTACACCATGGTAATAGATGGGCAAAACTGGAAAGTTACACCTAATCCCTACACTCGATTATGGTACTACACTATGTGTAGGATTGGGCTGTCTTTGATATGCCAATCAGTGAGATCCTTAGAGGTGGTCAAAACCTGGGTATGTTGGGACAGTCAGAAAATTCGCCTGAGTGGGTGATCATAGTGACAGAATCAGCCCCTTTGTTAGACAAAGTGAATGATCGGGGAATGCACTCTCTCTGATGGAAACCTAAACTATCGGCAGTTGATTTCAAACTTATTGAGATTTGTTTTTCAAAATACATTTATATAGAGATATACATATATATTATGGTTTCACAAAATGTTTGCAAAGGTTTTAATTCCTGAGATCCATGTGAGCAAAGAGTGCAACACTATACCTTACAGCCGAGGGAGAGGTCTGATGAGAATAAAAATTATCATATTTTTATCCCTCAATATTCAGTATTTTATACTTAATTAGTACCTAATCGGACTCACTATTCTTGTATTTCGATTTAGGGCACGAAAGAAGGCGTAGGGTGAATAACAAGGCTAATCGGGTAATTTTCCATAGCTTCGGCACCATGTGATAATTTGGGCACAACTCTCCCATCCGGACTCCGATTGAGATGATTCAAGATGCATTGGAATGAGAAGGACAAACTCTACAACTTTCATGTTTTGCGTTTTGATAGATTCCAAATGCGTTAAGGCCAAAATTGGGCCCAAATTCTAAGTGAATTCGTAGAGAAGCCCAGTTCACAGTTGAAGCCCAGTTTGTAGAGAAGCCTTGTAGCAGCCCAATTCGTTGAAGAAGCCCAATACGAATTCAAGAATAAGAAACATCAAATAGTCCTATCAGATTCAATTTTCTATTATATTTGTAGAAGCATAAAAGAGATTAAGATTACCAGTTAAGTGATAGGAGTAGATTAGATCTCATCTAGGCATTCTCTATTAGAAAACTGAACTCCCAATGGGGATAAAACTCCTTAGAGGAACAGGAGACAGCTCCCTCCTAAGTCTATATAAAGGGGGCAGACTAGCACCCAAGGGCACCATCAAATCCTCCAAGAGAGCTTCAGCCTTCAAGAGAGCAATCAGCAACCAAGGAGGAAGAAGCAGAGTTCGCCCCCTCCCATCTGGAAGCTACGATTTCATCATGAAATGTCTGTAAGGTTTTAATTTTTGGTTGAAGGGTTAGGGAAGATTTGATTCCATAAATATTGTGAGATCTAATTGATTTTTATTTCAGTTCATTGTTTATGGGTATTCATATGTTTTCTACGATTAACTGTGAAGATTATTTTTTTTGATTAAGTAAGAAGGCACCCTTGCTCATTCAATGAGAATAATCTATGGCCGATTGAACCTCCAGTTTCGTATATGATTGATAGGTTTGATCATGGTGGCAACTAACAGAAATTGATTGCAAAAAAGTTTTCGATCTATGTTAGGAAAATGTATGATCTGGTTTAAACGGTCTGAGCTTGTGATATCGCTGACCAGAATTGGGTCTCTCTCCTCTTAATGCTATTAATAGATTAAATCCTAAGAGCTTGTTTAGGACTGTCTATTAATAAGAGAAGCAATCAAAGAGCTTGTTTTGGTTATCGAATAATACAAGTAGAGGCTGGCTGTTAGAGCTTGTTATTTGCTATAACTAATTTATTCATAAACATATGAATTTATCCTTGCATCGAGGATCAGTGATAAGAATCAAAGGTGAACTTATCCCTTCAACTGGAAGCTATCTCCCATCGATTTGATCCTTGCTTTTTGTTATTTTCTTTTATTTCATCTTATTTTCCTTAATCCAACAACCCCCTACTTCGTATACTCAGAAATAAATCCATCCAATCCTTGTGGAGATGACCTTGCTCATCACTATATACAACTTATTCACTCCAGCAAGGCTTTTTATCTTTGGTTGGATTCGACACCCACCAAATTTTGGCGCCACTGCTGGGGATTGGTGTCATAAGTAGATTTATTTCCTTTTGCTTGGTTTATGCCTCGTTCTTCTCGTGTAGGTGAACTCCACTACGATCCCGAGATCAAAAACATAGTTCGCCGCTTGAGGAAAGAAGCCAAGCAACGTCGCAACCAATCAGCATCACTCTCATCTCCTAGGGTGAAATCGGCTGTAGAGATCTTTGAGCCGTCTAACCACGCTGAAGAAGAAATCATGGCCAACATCAAAGAGAGAACTCTTAGAGAGCTAGCCGCACCATATCTACACCAACAACCACTCTGCATTGAGTATGCAGATCTAGCAGTACCTTTTGAACTCAAATCTGGTCTTATCCACTTACTTCCTACTTTACATTAACTTTTAGGTGAAGATCCCCACAAACACTTAAAAGAATTCCATGTAGTATGCTTAAGCATGAAACTGCAAGGTGTTACTGAGGAACAGATCAAGCTGCATGCCTTTCCTTTCTCATTAGCTAATAAAGCTAAGGATTGGCTTTACTACTTACCCTCCGGTTCTATCACCACATGGAACGATATGAAAAGGCAATTTCTTGAAAAGTTCTTCCCTGCCTCCCGAGCTGCTAACATCAAAAAGGAGATATGTGGCATAAGACAATTCAATGGGGAAACTCTCTACGAATACTGGGAGAGATTTAAGCAACTCTGTGCCAGCTGTCCGCAACATCAGATTCCAGACCAGCTCTTTATCCAATATTTTTACAAAGGGTTATTGCCGCTGGATAGGAGTATGATTGATGCAGCAAGCGGAGGTGTGCTGGTGAACAAAACGCCTACCCAAGCAAGAGAATTAATCTCGAACATGGCAACCAATGCACAACAGTTCGACATTAGACAGGAGTCCATTCCAAGGAGGGTCAATGAGGTAAGAACTTCTTCCATCGATCAAAGATTAGACATTCTTACTTCTCTTGTGGAAAAATTGGTGGTAGGTCATGTACAACAAGCAAAGACATGTGGCATTTGTTCAACTACGGGTCATCCAACCGACATGTGCCCTACACATCAAGATGAACCCTTTGAACAAGCCAATGCTGTTGGAGGCTTCCCACAAAAGAGATACGATCCCTATTCAAATACCTACATTGCAGGATGGAGGGATCATCCTAACCTTAGCTATGGAGCCAAGCCCTTCGGCTTCCAACAACAACATCAATCTAGACCGCCAGCTCCACAATATTCGTCTTCCAACCCAGGTATGTCTCTAGATGAAATTGTTAAAGCACTTGCAACTAACACTCAATCATTTCAATAGGAGACAAGGACAAGCATCCGAAACCTGGAGAATCAATTCAGCCAATTGGCAACTACTGTGAGTTGAGTAGAATCTCAAGTATCAGGAAGGCTACCCTCCCAAACCATAGCTAATCTGAAACAGAATTCTAGCACAATCACCTTAAGAAGCGGGAAGGAGCTGAATGAACCTAGTGAAGAAGCATCTAAAGATACAACTAAAGAAGAGAAAGAAAAGGAGACACCATCACCCTGAAAAAATTCAAGTGGAAAGCAACCCCAAGCCATAGTCATCGCTCCACCTTTTCCTATCCGATTTGCAAAATCCAAGAAGGAGGAGCAAGACAAGGATATTCTCGAGACATTCTGCAAAGTTGAGGTAAATATCCCCCTCCTTGATGCAATCAAGCAGGTATGCCGCTATGCTAAATTCCTCAAGGAGTTATGCACCACTAAGAGAAGGCTTAAAGGCAATGAGAAAGTCCATTAAGGAGAAAATGTTTCAGCAATTATCCAAAAGAGACTACCCTCTAAATGCAAGGATCTAGGTATGTTCACTATCCCCTGGTAATTTTGCACAGTTTCAGTGCCACGTAATAATTTGGGCACAACTCTCCCATCCGGACTCCAAATGAGATGACTCAAGATGCATTGAAAAGATAAGAAAAAACTATACAAGGAGTTCTGCTCGAAGTCTAAGCGAATTCATAGAGAAACCCAATTCACAACTGAAGCCCAGTTCGCAGAGAAGCCTTGCAGCTGCCCAATTCGTTGAAGAAGCCCAATACAAATGCAAGAATAAGAACATCAAAGAGTCCTATCAGATTCAATTTTCTATTGTATTTCTAGAAGGATGAAAGAGATTAAGATTACTAGTTAAGAGATAGGAGTAGATTAGATCTAATCTAGGCATTATCTATTAGAAAACTGAACTCCCAATGGGGAAAGAACTCCTTAGAGGAGCAGGAGACAGCTCCCTCCTAAGTCTATATAAAGGGGGCGGACTAACACCCAAGGGCACCATCAAATCCTCCAAGAGAGTTTTAGCCTTCAAGAGAGCAATCAGCAACCAAGGAGGAAGAAGCAGAGTTCGCCCCCTCTCATCTAGAAGCTGCGATTTCATTATGAAGTGTCTATAAGGTTTTAATTTCTGGTTGAAGGGTTAGGGAAGATTTGATTCTATAAACATTGTGAGATCTAATTGATTTTTATTTCAGTTCATTGTTTATCGGTGTTCATATGTTTTCTATGATTAACTATGAAGATTATTTTTATTGATTAAGCAAGAAGGCGCCCTTGCTCATTCAATGAGAATAATCTATTGCCGATTGAACCTCCAGTTTCATATATGATTGGTAAGTTTGATCATGGTAGCAACTAATAGAAATTGATTGCAAAAAAGTTTTTGACCTATGTTAGGAAAAATGTATGATTTGGTTTAAATGGTCCGAGCTTGTGAAATCGCTGACCAGAATTGGGTCTCTCCCCTCTTAATGCTATTAATAGATTAAATCCTAAGAGCTTGTTTAGGACTTTCTATTAAAAAGAAAAGCAATCAAAGAGCTTGTTTTGGTTGTCTAATAATATGAGTAGAGGCTCGCTGTTAGAGCTTGTTAATGGCTATAACCAATTTATTCGTAAACATATGAATTTATCCTTGCATCGAGGATCAATGATAAGAATCAAAGATGAACTTGTCCCTTCAATCGGAAGCTATCTCCCATCGATTTGATCCTTGCTTTCTGTTATTTTCTTTTATTTCATCTTATTTTCCTTAATTCAACAACCCCTACTTCGTATACTTGGAAATAAATCCACCCAATCCCTGTGGAGACGACCTTGCTCATCACTATATACAAATTATTCACTCGAGCAAGACTTTTTATTTTTGGTTGGATTCGACACCCACCAAGGTCCTCTCTTGTCGGGCAGTGTTTGATCATTATGGGCTAAGAGGTTATGTGTAAAACCATTTAGGGTTATACCTGATGTAATAATCTCACATAAATCCATAGTCCTTGGATTTTCATAAGGTGGTTGGACCCAGGGACCATCTAGTGTAAATTTTGGGCCTACTAAGAGCCCATACTAATAGGCTCAGGGGTTCACTATCTTCAGCAGTGAATTCGGCCAGGCCTTGTAATAGAGGCTGGGCTGAACCCATATGGCTTTTGTAGAGATCAATGCTAGGGTCCCATGCCATATAAAGAGAGCCACACTAGCTAGAATTTAAAAGGGAAAGTAAGCTATGTGACTTAATGGGCCTAAAGCCCATTTCGAACTGGGCTTAAGTGATTTAATTAAATGGGGTGAATTAATGCTTATAATCTGATTAGGATCAGCTATAGGATAAGATAAGTCTTATCCACTTAAGAGTCTAGATCCAAATACAGATTTGGATCAAGAAACTCACTCCTAATTGGATTAGGAAGCTGATCCAAAGAAGGTTATAAATAAGGGGGCGAATTCCTTAGTTTACATATTCAGCATTATGTAGTTTTCTCCCTCCGCTCTTACCGCCCTACCCAGTTCGATCTCCACTTTTGGAATTGATCAAGATTAGATCTTGATATTGTTTCTTGCTAGAAGAAACAATCTGAAGTTGTGCTCACAACCCCTTGCATGATTCTTGCTGAAGAATTAGTGTTCTTGCTAAAGAACCTCCTTGTTGATCCTGTCTCAACATAAGCTATGTCATCTTCAGTGGAGGTGGGTTTTGATGACCTCTTTGGGCACAAACATCTATGTTGGGAGTTATCTACATTGATTCCATATCAGGTATATTCCTCTCCCTCTTTTGGTTTCATATCTAGTACAGTTTGTTTCAAGAATGAGTGTAGAAAAATGTAGTTTTTCTAAATTAGGAATACGATTCCTGGATGGAAGAAAGAAATTTTTGAAATTTTGCCCAGCCACTTTGCATGATTTGGCCATCCATATGATGGATCTCCCATCCCTTCACTAACGAAGTCGGCGAAAAAGGTGTCTGAATTTCCTTGACGAGTGGCCATGGAGGCAGACGAAACAGACAAAAAAATAGGAGCTAAGAAAGAAAGGGAAAAGCCTTCCGCAGCAACTCAAGGAACAAATGATTATGCAGAGATGACAACAAGGGCTGAAGAAAGAACAAATGTGATTGCTCTTCCTCGTTTTATAGTGAATCCCCACTTCCACATACATAGCAGATGAAATGGCGTCGGAGAAGATGAAAGGTCGCCTGTCCATCGCCCAAAACAATGCTTAGTGGAAAAGAAACTAGAGGAATTACCTAAATACCCCTCTAAAGGTGGGTTCTGAAAGGCACATTCATTCAAATAAAGCGACACGTCAGTAACCATCACTAGACCATTGATGGGTTTGTCGAAGCCCTCAAAATTAATACTAGTCCCACAAAAAAATATTTGCAGTAAAAGTGGTACTAGGTCGAATCCCACAGGGAGCTAAATAATAATCTCTTAGCTGAATGGATAATATAATTGAGTGGGAAAATTTAATAACTAGAATTAAAAGAATAAGAAAGCAATAAAAAACTAAACAAACAAGAGAAAATCAGTCTTACCGAATTCTGGTTCAAGGGTTCGGGTTGAATCGATTGGCCATCGATCCTAGGTAAA